ATATATATATATATATATCATATATATATATATATATATATATATATATATATATATATATAACTTGACTAGTTAAATAAATGAAATAGAAAATATTAAAAAATTCAAGATATAATTGTGAAGAAGATTTTTTTGTAGAGTTTTTATCCTCAAATAATTCAAATGAGACAATAACAAACACGACAACAAAATTATTCTTCTCCTACCTAGTTATAAGGCCACAAAAAAATAATATTATCCAATTATTTACCTTGATCCGATTTCATGAAATATGAAATTTCATAATAACTCAAGAGTATAATACAAAGAAATTTATATAGAGTTATAAACCAAATATAAGATTAGTTGAGAAGCAATAAATCAAATACTTGATAAAAACTAATTCATGCATTACCAAATCCTGCATTACTAATCATATATTACTAACTAATCCATACATTATGTATCCTTGTACCAAAATATCGAGCATCAAGTAACAACCAAATGGATCTTTCTGTACATCAATTGCTATTTTCTGATATAAGATTAGGCGAGAAGCAATAAATCAAATACTTGATAAAAACTAATTCATGCATTACCAAATCCTGCATTACTAATCATATATTACTAGCTAATCCATACATTATGTATCCTTGTACCAAAATATCGAGCATCAAGTAACAACCAAATGGATCTTTCTGTACATCAATTGCTATTTTCTGGACCATGGATGTAATTCATAACTATGAGCAACCATTCTCTAAAGAGCATGACATGACTTGAGGATGTGTGTTCTCTACAAAATGTTACTCAATTTTTTCTTATTGGTATTGTAAGAATATTCTTACTTATGGTCCAAATTTACTTATGACTTAAATAATATCATAAATAATATTTAATGAAGAATAGATCTCGTTCGTACATTAAATACTCAATGAACATATCATATTAAGTTATAACCTCTATAAATTGGTATATCTTTCACCAATGAGGATTACCACATATTTCTACATTAATTTTATCATTGACGGTTGTGGTTACGTAAGACTAGGACAAGGTGATAGAAATTAATTTACGATTATTTTTCCGCATTAGGCATGTACATCTAGCGATCGTTATGTAAGATTATCATGTTCAAGATCCTATTATGTATTAAAGTATTTAATCTTACATGTGGTATCAAGACCTTAAATATTTGAACGGATAATCTTCATATACGAAGTATGTGCATATAAATTTTTTATTTGTAACAAGATTCTAACAATTTGCTACATACGCGTGCAACTTGACATTGAAGTTGATTGGTGATGAATATGAATTGTGATTCAAGTATGTCTAGTCCGACAAACAATTTGGGTAATGGAATTGACAAGTAGCACCTTACTTCTCCTATTAAGAATTCGATGGACAAGTAGATGTAAGAATAAGATGAATCAATTCTTATTTTGTGCTTGACTATTTAATGTGTTTGAACTCTTGATTTAATAAAGTGTTGTTATCAAAATTTAATCTGCATAAATACTGAAAAATCTTAATCTACCCCGTAATGTAATAATTATGTTTTGTTTTTAAATTGTGCAATAAATTAAAGTGGACGTACTAAGCAATAATAATGTTTGTACTTTGTGAAAAATAGTTTATTAGTCACCAAAGTGACTAAACTAGAGAAATTAACGTCTAAATATATAATATTTATCTTTACTCGATGCATATATCATGTTTCTATAGTTTGTTAGTTACCAAAGGGGTCAAACTAAAATGTATAAAAATATTCACATGCACAAATTTTTATGAAATTATGTGTGCATTTGTATTGATATAACTTGTTAATCACCAAAGTAGTCAAACTAGTAAGCAAAAAATATGTATTCATAAAATTGTCATTTCTCTATAAAAGTTATGTCTATATTGAAAAATAAATAAATAAATTGACTTTCACTACTGTTAGAATTAACTTGAGATTTATCCAAAAGTGAATCCATCATTCTTCGAATAGTGAACATTATGAAGTAAACTATGAAAGTCAATAAAACGCCTATATTGAAAATAAATAAAATAAATTTACTTTTGCTATTACTAGAACATAAGATTTACTCACAAATTTAAAAATATTACTTACACATATAACAAACATAAAAATTATATTTGTAAATTATAACGATAGTTTGCATAATAGCGCTCCATAACAAATTTTATGTTTGCTATGGAACTTGTGATTTGTATAATTCGCTATACATATACAAATAACTATTAATATGTGTATCTCACTATACATATATGCATGACTATTAATATGTATATATTTCATTATATACATACGAATATGATTATTAATATGTATATTTCGGTATACATAAACAAATCAATTGTATATCCGTGTTTATAAAACGAGAAAGAGAGAAAAACAAAAGAAAATTGGACAAGGAAAGATTTATATTAGTATAATTTTAAGTGTATATGACAAAAATATATGCTTATATTTGTATACATAATTTTCTCCCGTTTAATACAAATGAAACACAATTTATTCGTTTGTGTTTGTATAAAGTGAGAGGGAGACGACTGAAATCGGCGAGCAAAATTTGGGAGAGTATTGAGCGAGATCTAGGAGAGTGGAGAGAAGGGAACAAAAAGATATGCACATAAACAATTTCTCTCGTTTTATACAAACACAAACACATTTATACATTTGTGTTTGCAAATTGAGAGAGGCGAGGAGAGATTTTCCAGCGAGAACGAGAGTGACGAGCGAGATTCACCAGAGAGACAGACAAATAACAATAATTTGCTACGGGATACAATTAAATCAAACTACAATTATAACATTTAATATGAATTAATAGTTTACTATTATATACGATTTTCTTAATTTAAAATTATATTAAGAAGTAAGCCCTCACAAATTTAAAATTATAGATCCGTCACTAATTAAACAATTGAAATTATTAAATGAAGATCAAGAAAAGGATAAAAGAAATTTAAAGATGTGCAATCACTAAAACAATTATGACATGGAGATTATATTATTAAAAGTTAAAAAGAGTGAAAAACACACACACAAGATTAGATCATAATTTAATTACCTTTTAGAATTACAATATATATAATGCAGTTGCTCTTCTAACACATTCCTTGTATACTAATCTTTGTATAAAAGAAAAAAGTGATAGCATAAATCTTTGTACCTAATGCTTTAACGCGTAGACTTTTCTCCAGAAAAAATCGTGGCGGTGCCATTGCAGCACAAATCTTGAAATTGTCCATTCCTCAAACCCCCCAAAAGAAGTTGTGTGAGATCAGACAAAGGAACAAGAGTTGTTTGAGCTGAATCAAGAATGGATCTACCAGCAGAAGAGCTTCAATTCTTGACTATTCCTGATATTTTTCAAGAATCAATCTCCATACCTAAGAGATCTCCAAAAACATTCTACCTTATTACCCTTACTTTACTATTTCCTTTATCTTTTGCAATCTTGGCTCATTCTTTGTTCACTCATCCAATCCTTACTCAGCTTCAAGAAAACCCAAATTCATCTCATGCTTCTCAATGGACAAAGCTCATCGTTTTTCAGTTTTTTTATTTGCTTTTCTTGTTTGCTTTCTCTTTGCTTTCAACTGCTGCTGTTGTTTTCACTGTAGCATCAATTTACACTACAAAGCCTGTGTCTTTTTCATCTACCTTAGCTGCAATTCCCAGTGTTTTCAAGAGGCTTTTTATCACCTTCATATGGGTTTCTCTTTCTATGTTGGCTTATAATACTGTTTTCTTGATTTTTCTTGTGCTTCTCATTGTAGCAGCAGATACCCAGAATGTGGTTTTGTTCCTTTTCTCCTTTTTGGTTGTCTTTATACTCTTTCTTGTAGTTCATGTTTACTTCAGCGCATTGTGGCATTTGGCCAGTGTGGTGTCTGTTCTTGAGCCTATTTATGGTATAGGAGCTATGAAGAAGAGCTATCAGTTGTTGAAAGGGAAGACAGGAATGGCATTTTTCTTTGTTTTTGGATATTTGTCTATTTGTGGGGTAATTAATGGGTTTTTTGGGTCTGTTGTGGTTCATGGAGGTGATAATTATGGTGTGATTTCAAGGATTTTGATTGGTGGGTTCTTGGTTGGAGTATTGGTGATTGTGAATCTTGTGGGGCTTTTGATGCAAAGTGTGTTTTACTATGTTTGCAAGAGCTACCATCATCAAGAGATAGATAAGACTGCTCTCTACGATCATCTTGGTGGATACCTTGGGGAATATGTGCCTCTGAAAAGCAGCGTGCAGATGGAGAACTTAGAAGGCGGTCCCTTGACGCCATGATGGTGAGAAAGGCTGAATCCTTGTGATTTTATTCGAATTTGTTGCATGATATATTGACGAGGAATCGTAAAGACATTAACTTTGGAGTAGGTTGTTGTGTTTGGGCACTTGAATTTGTTTGTATACATAATAAATAACTTTGTTTTTTGTGCTTTCTTGTTAAATTTCATTAATATGCACCATTAGTGTTTATAACAAAGCTGTGTTCTTTGTACATGTTAAAATATATCTATTGATAATTGTTATGGTATATGATTGTTCGCCACCAGAGGTGGACAAATATCATATACTGATTATGGCTGCTCCTCTGTTGTTTATAGAAATAAAATTATACCATTGTTCAGTGTATCGAGTCAGATAAATTCCTCTATCTTTGTCTCTTATGTTGTTACTCAACGCGTCAAGTCTTCTCTTTGTTTTCCTGTGCATATATCTCCTCAGAATCCCAGTGGAGGTTGAAATTTTATTTGTTAATTAAGCTGAGTGATTTAAATAGATATAGAAATAATAAAAGATTGGCCTACCTGTAATAACTGAGTTGGTACTTTTGATATTTCACCAAAAGTCCAAACCTCTGCATTGCCATAGAACTGTTTATTTTCCCTCAATTGGAATGGTATTCTTCTATGATAGTCTAACTAGCTTCACTCCTTTTGGGAGGCAGTTTACTTGAAAAACAAATAAAAGAGAAGGCGAGGAATCGCCTCATTGGACAGAAAAAGTCACACTTCATTGTGTGTGTCTTTTGTTGGGAAATTGGTGTGGAGAATAAGGGGGGAATGCTCAACCTTCACTGTATTATGTTTAGTGTGTAAAAGAAGGAACTGTCTAGGATTCAGTTGTGAAATATTCTTTTAATGGTAATATGCTAACACAATATTTTCTATGCTTCTGGTTAAGCAGAACTTCAGTTAAATTTAGTGTACAGTGTACACCACTTTTTCTAGTAAAGCTAGTGAACTAGTTTTGCTAGGAAGTCTCACAGCATTATGTGTACTAACTTAAACCGGCTATCCATCTATGTATTAAAATACACCTAGTTGAGTAAATGATGATAGTTCAGGTAGGAAAAGCGAACAATTGAAAGTTGCAGCTACTAGAAAATATTGAACAATTATATTGAGATGGAGTGATGTACTTAGGCAAGTGGGTGGGGGTTGAAAATCTGAGCTACTTCGATGGAGTGATGTCCTTGAGTTACCTCCACATAGCCTCCAATGTCTGGATGGTCCTCTTTGACTGGCCATAGGTCTGAGGACAAAATGTTGGGCTAAGTACTCTGCTACTGAAAGCCTTTTGGACACTCTGCCACAAGGCTAAAGTGAAAACTAGATGTTTGATTGCTACTATGGATGATGATGTCCTGTATAGGCGCACTATCTCATTAATATATATATATATATATATATGGGCTAGCTTTCCGAATTGCAAGAGCAGAGGTCTACAGCTGAGTTTGTCTTGTGAGCCATGTGGAGAATGCATTAAGATTGTTTCTTCTCTTCTTTCTATCGTGCAGCAGGGGTCATCCTGGACCAGAAAAGGACATGTCAGTGACCTAGAACAAAATTACTCCCTGAGGGATGGAACATCTAAATTTTTTGCGTCAGAATATCCACAATAATATCTATGTTAGATCCTCTGCTTGTAATAACGGAAAGGTCAATTCAATTCTCGATGGAAATGGTGAATTCTCTGCCAAAACTGGAAAATTTATTTCATTAGCTATTATATGGAGAGACTGCAAATTGTTTTTATCAGATACATGATTGGGAAATGATCAACTGGAAAGATATGAAAATATAGTCATTTTGAACTTTGAGGCATTTTGATGGAAAGAAAGAATCTGCTTCTTGATTTCTGATTATATCTTTTCCTAAGATGTTATACTGCTGTGCCTCAGTGCCTGAATAGTTATTAGTTTGAAAAAAGAGTAATTCTATGTTGGATAGCTATATATGTTGGTTTCTCCACTCTTGTGTGTCCTCATTAACATTGTAGTTGAAGGAGAACAGAAGATGTGGAAAGAAGTAAGAGAAATGCAACAGCAGTTCCGTTCAACAAGTGGATATAAAATATAATTTGGAAAATAAAGCTCCATATATAGTTGCCTGCTTTTGTGGCATCATTAGTTATTTTATCAGGTGGTTTTTATGAACCTGTTTAACCTAAACTTGTAGAACTGGAGATTTTTCATATTTCAATGCCACGTATGAAAGGGAGATGCATTGGGAACTCAATTGGATGCTCCTTCTAAATATCTTTTGCTCCAGGAAGGAAGGACCTCGTAAAGATAAGAATATGGACCAGTATCTGAGTATGTATATGTTGGATAGGTCTAAGAAACTCAGAGATGTCACAAAACCCAAATCGGAAAAATGATATATTTATAATGTCTTTTTGGCATAACATGATAGTTGTAGATGAAGCTGAAAGGTTTTCTTGATTTCATAACTGCCCTAGAGGAGTAGCAAAGGTAGGGGTGGACGTTCGGCCATCCAGGTTGGATATGAAAATTTCAGTTTGGATTTTCCGGTTCTCAGATTGAAGAAATTACAATCCAAATAAACTCGAATCGGATTCGATTTTTTTAAGTTCGGTATTGGATTAAATGGTTTGAATGTTTTTGGATTTTCAGTTTAGACTTTAGAGACTTTTGGGCAGGCCATAACAATTAACATTTTCAATTCACCTAATAGTCTGCTCCTTAGAATGTATAACTTTCTACCATTGACAAGGATGGAGACCACCATGCCGTCCATTCCATGTATATTAGACTTAATGTTATAATGGTTTGGACCGCTGGTACTAATCTAATAATTTCTGTTGGACTTTTAAAATAGGACTTAATAGTATATTGGACACATTTGATATGGGTAGGGCTGAATATAGTGTACAAAATTTCAAACTAGATATACAAAAAGTTCGAACTTCGGGTTGACCCTACTAAGCCCACCCCTAAGCAAGTGTTCTGCATATGCAATAATTCTTTGTTCTATTTTGTGTTGATAAGATTGTTTATTTAGATGCAAAGGGCAGTGGCTTTCGTCATAGAGACAGAGCATCCAGTGGCAATTAAAATCAGTGACTCAAGTTCAAATATTACTTAAGAAATTAAAGCGCACTGAATAGCATGATTGTAGTGCAATTTGAGATTTCCTTCAGGAGTTTCTAGTCCAATATTGACAATTTGAATTATGTGATCATACTATAATTGGGTTTCCTTGAAAGGGAACTGGATATCCATTTTGTGAAGTAGCTTGAACAGTTATTATACTTAGTTCCACAGTTCTAATTGGCTGTGAGCATGTCAAAAAGAAAATCGTAAGATTGGGTTTGGAAGATGCACTCGTGATGAAAGCTGAAAGAACTTGTAAGAGGATTCTGAAATACTTGCAAGACAATAGGATTCTAGGAGGAATATAGCTTTCTTTAATATCAAACCTTAGTTAACAGAACTATCTATTAGGAGTTCGTTTGGGTTGACTTATTTTAAGTGCTTTTAAGCTAAAATAGCTTTTAAGCATTTTTGGAGTGTTTGGGTAAGTTAAAAAAGTGCTTATAAGCACTTAGTTTTAAAGCTAAAATACTAAAAATAGGCCAAACATGAAAAGCCAATTAACTCAGAACTTGGCAGTTACAGATGCTTGCTCCTGCTAATTCTTGTGCATTTTCCTTGTATTTGGACTTGGATCTTGCTGTTGGTTGGCCTCCTGGATTGTCAATGTTTTTCTGTTCATGACGAAACAGTTATTAATCCTGCAATACATAGATTCAGAAAGTCTTTATTCTCTTCTGGATAGTGGTTCTATTTCAATGTCTTTAGATTCAGGGAAATCCTATAGGGGTACATTTTGGACATTGATGGAAGTTCTTTCAGAATGTTCAGCATATACAATATACTACTATATAGTGTGGTTGGTCCTGGAGGCATTGAACATCGTAAATAAGTCTAATATGTCCATGGAGCACTTAGTTTCTCTTGAGATCTTGTTTTGGTTTATAGAGTGAGAAATTCACATTTGTGTTTCTTTGTGATGTGATTTCCACATGGTTACAGTCCATTTTGTTGTTTCTTCTTTGATGGACTTGCATGTAATTAGCCTGACATATTTAGTTCAGCTGGATGTGGGTAACATGACATGAGAAAGGAGATACATGTTGGCATCATCATTATGCATTGTCAAGGATAACAAAATTTCAAGTCAGTTGGCCACCTGATGTCCTTTGTTTCGGACATCTTCCAAGCAATATGCTGGCCAAGACGGTCTGTCTTACATGACGATGCAAATGATGTGAGGAATCTGTCGCTGCTAAGAATCGGAAGTTTTTGAAAAAGAAGTATCTTCATCTAGTGGAAGACGCTAGGGTGGTGTGCTGAAGAAATATCTTGGCATATAAAAGTAAGTTAGTTATAGATTTGGAGAAGTCGTAAAATGCTTAAACTGGCGGAAATATGAACTATCCGTTTGATGGATGATTTGGAATGAACAATGTTTTTCACTCTTCTATTTGGTTTCTTCATTGTTTTATGTTGTTGTTTTTTTGCTAATTTTATTTTGCCTATGGATCTTGTATTAAGATTTCTTCTGTAAAAGTATAGTTAAAATTGTGTGTATACTGTTATAACAGGTGCAGAGCTGTGGAGATTCTTTTTATCATTTTAGTTCCACTATTTATTAGTCTCTAGTTTTTTTCTGGTTCAAAAAGTACATAGTACTAATTAAGCTTTTTTTTAATTTGAATTACTTAAAACTATCTTATTCTTGCTTTGTGTCACATCATACTAACATAGTCTATTACATGTCAAAAATCTACACTATTTGTATATACATATATAATAGATTAACCAAATTATTCTAATCTGTACCCATCCCCATCAAACAATATTCAAATAATTATTCATAATTGACGTAGAAGAATAATACAATGTTTGAGTCCTCTATCGAATAGTAGGGCCAACTCTATGCTGTCTGCTCTTACGGAAATAATTTTATAATGAAGACTTGAAACACCGATAATAATAGACTATGTGGGTATTAAAAGCAAAATAAGACACGTATATGATATTACGTATGTATTGTAAAAGGGAAAAATGTTTATGCAGTGGATTTTAAAAGCAAATACCGAATGGAAATTTGCTGCTTACATCTTCTAATAATAATAACACTTGCTTTCACATCAACATGATAAATATTTTTTAAATTAAAAGCATATCCTTTTGAATATTCCATTTTTGTATTAAATGTGCTCATGTTAGAAAAAAAAAACTACAGAATTATGTGAAATGAAATTTTTTGATTTGATTTGACAAATAATATATGTATAGGTGTATAATTATGTATATGTTTTTACTAAAGGACTTAGATACGGTAGATTAATTACCACTCACGGAGCTCGGATTTTTATTGATGGATTAAAAAAAACATGTTAAATAGTGTTAACAAATAAGGGCCCGTTTGGATGGGTTTAATAAAAGCAGCTTTAAAAAAGTATTTTTGAAAGTGCTGAAACTTATTTTTAAAATAAGCAGTTATGCGTTTGGATAAAAGTGCTGAAGTTAAAAAAAAATTGTTGATGTGTTTGGCAAATAAGTGTTGATAAACAGCTTTTTAAATCAAAATGTCTGAAATACCCTTAAAAACTGTTAACATAATAAAAGTTAATTAATTTATATTTTACAGCCATAAATAATTATATTTTGTTGTCATTCACATATTTCTTTCTCATCGCAAATTATTTATAAGAGGAATAATGACTTATTATAGATTTTAAAGATATATATATATATATATATATATATATAATTTGAATAGATCACTTGAAAGATTTAAGATTTATTTTATTTTCATTCATTAGTAATAGTAATTGTCTATCATCCACACGTGAAAAGGGAAAAATGGAAGAAAAAGATGTTAGGGTTATGTGGGTAATTTGGAGATTGTATAAAAATATTAAGGGCAAAAAGGTAAAATGTGGTCAACTTAAAACAACTTATAAGCTAAAAAAAAAGCACTCCTACCCCAGCTTTTAACTTTTGGCTTAAAATAAGTTTTTTTAACTTAAAATAAGTTATTTTGAGTATTGTCAAACAGCTAAATAAGTCAAAAACCAGTTTTTAAGTCAGTTTGACCAGCTTTTAAGTTGAGCCAAACACGCTCTAAGTTGTATCAAATTTCAAGCTAAAACATTGAAAAATGTTGCTGACTAAATTCAAACATGCGTGCTTACTAGTTTCTGAACCCCCATATCAACCAACCCCTTATGTTGGGTTCAGTATTAAATATATAGACATAAAATACAAATTTGATCCTATATACATAATTTTTTGATTAAGAGAGTAGTAGTGAACTCCTGAACTCTGTGTAGATCCGCCCTACCTCCTCTAAATACTATTAGGACAAACTACTTTGAATATTGATGTTGAACTTTGTTTAGCCACTTAGTTAGATAAAATACAATTACACAATAAATATCGCATTCAACAGGGTGATTAAGAATGTTGATGTATTTGGTCTTGACAAGTTGTTGTTTGATATTGAGAAAAGACATAAAATCATCACTGAAGTTGTTATGAATTTTCAAGAAAGACACCTTAACCTTGAAGACGTTCTATTACCCCACAAAACTATTGAATATTTTTGTAAAAGGTTCATTTTGACCCATTTTCTCATTATGTTTGAGAACACGGACATGGTGCGTGTGAAGATCTGTTTCTAATGCCAAAACCAATTAAAAACTGTCACATCTATGTTATTTTCTTTATTAATTATTTATTCCATTACAATTCATCATCTTCCCCAACAAAAGAGTTACAGGTACTCTTTGATGCACTGATGAAATCAACTCAATAAGGTAAAAATTAGTTTAATTTCCAATTGAAAAAGCTAGTTTAAAGTTTTCCGAAGTTTCATTTCTTCTTAATTTCATTTAGTTTTGAGAACCCAAAATCAAATCAAACTCTAATTAGTTATTTTTTCGGGAGAATAAACATTGATCTGGGACTTGCCAATTTTTGAACTTTGATCGGCAGCGTCATCGTCGGGGTCGCTAGATGTTTTCGAGACTTGTCCATGGAATCTCGCGTTATATCAAGCCATGGTTGAAAATAAGTCCAATCGCTAGTCACTCAAAAGACATGGCTTTGAATACCACTACTATCGATTTCAACGAATTATTCTTCGTCATTGAAACTACAAGCAACTTTTCTAATTTATATGTGGATGAGGGTTTTAGTTTGCAGCTGAAACGATTTGCTATTGTTACTATTCTAACCTGTTAATCTTCAATTCATTGTTTACTCCACTAATTCTCCAAGAATTTTGACCAACAAATATCAAAATTGTAGGAGATGATCTTCAACAATGCCTATGGTTGAAGAAAATAATGAGAGAAACTAAGAAATGAAAAATGGAGAACAATAGTTTTTTTTTTATTGAAACGATTTGGTTCGGGTCGGGTTTGAAGAATTTAATTTTAATTAAATTAATAAAAAGAGTGAACAGCACGCGTCTGTTTGTGATAGAGAAAATGGATCAAAATGGTTCTTTTACAAAGATATTCTATACTTTTGTGGGGTAATAGGATGCCCACTAAGTTAAGGTGTCTATGAAAATCCAAAACAACTTTAGGGGTGATTTTATGTCTTTTCTCAACTTGTAAGATGATAGATGTATGTATTGTGACCCATCATCCTCACCATGTATTGCATCATTATTTGTCACCAACTAAATTAACTATTAATTAGTATGCAAATATTATATCATGCTCAAGTTTGATATATACAGTCAGTAATTTGGATCAAATTTGTCCTCTTAATTTTCGTTTTTATGTAATTTTTACTCATAAAATACACGAAAAATAGTCATATTTATTCGCATATTCTTTTTTTAAAAATATTATATTTATTTCATCATATTCTTTGAAATGTATTTATTCTTCTCATCATAGACATAGATAGACTCACGTTTATATATATATATATATATACACACACACACACACACACACACACACACCCACCTAAATAAGGATCATATAATGAGTGTGGACCTTGAAACACATAAATGAGATTTGAACTAGCAACCTCAAAGCATACATTGAGGTGAAGAGCATCCAATCATTGACTCAGTCAATCACATCATTTGCAAAGTCGAAGCTGAAGATAAAGCCAGACCGAGACCGAGCTAGTGCAACAAAGGCGCGAGGGGCACACTCTACTTAATCCATTTAGAGCTAAAAGAAACGTTTCTTAATAAAAGTTTTTCTCCTCTGCAAAGCTATCAATGCTTTATTCAAGATCTTTAGCAGTCGATCGTTCATTCTCCCTCCCCAGCTTATCCGCCAGTTGTCTGGCTGTAAAAGGAAGAGGTTGGGGAGGAAGTGCAGCAAGTGAGCCCTACTCATTCCATTTCCCAAACGGATCTATGGAATTCACCTTCCTCGTCGGCTCCAAGTACCAATATAAGAGAAATGACTTTTTATTTTCCCTCCAAACTGGTTCCCCATATTTCTCAATTTTGCATTCTTATTTCTCATTCACACCTTGCTTCAACCCAACAAGTAGTGTTTCACTCTTCTTCAAATCCTAAATTTGTCTTGCACTTATAATCCTCACCCTTGTTATTTTACTATGAAAATTAACAAACCAATATGAGCAAATATGATTTTTTTGGTAAAACATTTGACCCTTTCTTTTTTCCTTTTTAGGCATTATGGTTGACATTAGTGGGGGAAAAGAGTAGGGATAATAAGGTTTAAAAATAAATGGGAGGTGATATAAGTATTAAGTATTGGGTGTATGTGACAATTATGTGATTAATGATCAAGGATTGTGGAGTTGCCTTCAAGTATAAGTTGACAGTTTTGTCTATTGAATTAAATGAAGGGTAAAAGCATAATCGACTAAAACCTAATTTAACCAATTTTTGTGGAAATTAAAATTGGGGGAAGCCACCAGCAAGCTGTACCAAAAGGGGAAATAAAATATTTTCCCCATCTCTCGTCATAATTTTTTCTTTTTCTTCTTCTTCGTCGTTCTTGTTTGCTTGCTTGTCTTTCTTCCCATTCTCTTTATCTTTTTTTTCTTCTTTTCGTACATCATTGGTCTTGGTTGCTAGTCCTTGAGCTTTATTCTTCTTGAATCAGATTTAATTAATTTAATCAGTGGGTTAGATTTTGTTTACTCTCAATTGAAATTACTTCATAAATGATTCGGGTCACATACCATTGTTTTGATATGTAAAATTGATAGTTTTTTGAAATAATTCATCATCATTTAGGCACCTGCAATTTTTTCAATAATTTGCATTCGCGTTTCCAACAGATTGCTATATGTTGCAACAATTGACTATTGGAACAAATTATAACCATATGTAGCAACATATAAGCTAGACATGTAGCAACATATGACTTACGTGTCGCAATCGACATGATAGTTATATAATACCCTTGTAAATCATTGTTTCAAGTTTTATACCATATTTTTATTGCTTAATTATGGTTCAAAGTACTAAAATTTTGTCCAATTTGATATTTTTTCATTCCTAAAACGCTCAATTTATCGATTAAGTCATCTTTGA